TGTTTTCTTGAGAAATAGTGAGAAAACTGTTGCCTTGTTAGTTGTGTTCTTATTGCTGAAATGAAGGTCTTTTGGATTTGATAAAAGATTTTTATGAGACTTTTTTTGAAACCAAAAATGTGGGTTCAATTATTGAATGAATTAAATTTATTTTTGTATATACAATTTGTTGTGTGGCCACCAGTTTGTTTATTCATCTAAGAAGCTTTCTTTTTCTGTACTAAGTGTATTTCTTTTTCAAACCTTTTTTCATACATGAGAATAGAAGTTTTCACTAAGAGTTTACTCATTAATAAGCATATGGATTTACCTTATTCTTAGTTATGAATATTCTTAGTTAATGAAGTTATGGCCTTTTGTCTTTTTTTTATGTGTTTTTCTCCCTCTTGTATGTTTTTTAAAGGTCAAAATTAAATAGGCTAATGTTCAATATATTCAGTTAGCATTATGCTCTACATCAAATATTAGTGTCTGTGTTGTGTCTACTGTTTTGAAGAGCCGTTTTAGGAAAGTATTATCCCCACTGACTACATGTCTAATTCTGCTTCTTCTGCAGAACTAGCTTAGAAACTTATGTTTAGGATTCTAACATGCTAGAAAAAGGAAAGTCCCCAGATTTTCAGAGGAGAACTATGTTTTTATATCACTTTTTATTTTCTTATGTTGGTTTTGTCTAAAAACATTTTTGGGCTAGGGAGATAGCTCTGTCAGACAGGTGCTTGCTGTGCAAGTGCAAGGACCAGCGTTTGATCTCTAGAACCAATGGGAGGGAGAGACAGGCAAATCCCTGAAGTTTGCTGTTTGTCTTAATCAAGCACCAGGTCAGTGAGAAACCCTGTCTCAAAAATAAGATGCATGGCTGAGTGTAGTGACACATATCTTTAATCCCAATACTTGGGAGGCAGAGATAGGCTAATCTCTGGGAGTTCCTGGCCAGCCTGGTCTACATAGTGAGTTGTAGGACAGCTAGGGCTACATAATGAGATCCTGTCTCAAAAAAACTAAAAGCAAAATAAAATAAAACAAAATAAAGGCACATGGTGTTTGAGGGGGGGAAAGACACTGAAAAGTTGACCTCTGGCTTCACACAAATACCTGTATGAGGGCAAACACACACACACACACACACACACACACACACACACACACACACACAGAGAGAGAGTTTTAATTTGTCTTTTAAACATTTATATTATATTTAGATTGTGAATGTATGTATGTATACATGTACATGAACATATGTGTGGAAATCAGAGGATAGCTCGAGGAAGCTGGTTCTCCTTTTTTCCTTGTGTATGTTCCAGGGATTGAACTCAGGAAGTCATGTTTGGTGGCAGGTGCCTTTAGTGGCTGAGCCACCTTGCTGGCCCTATTGTTTACTTCTAATTTAGAACCCGGGGTACTGTATAGACATTGTTTTTTGTAAATGAAAATTTTACATTTAAAAATAATTGAGGTATAAGTTAATAAATATTTTCTTATGGAAACAAACTTGTACAGAATATTAATACACAGCAGATCACTTCCTTTAGAAGGCAGGAAAAAAATGCCAAGATTTCCAACTCGAAGATGTACCCACTAACAGCTGTTTCCTATAATTGGAGCAATTTGCATGCAGAATAGAGAAAATGAATTATACAAAAGGGTGCAGAGAGGAGCAGCTATAACTCCCTGGCGGGTGCAGCAGCCCACAAAATAAACTTCCTTCAAATGACACTGGCATGATTAGTCCTAAGCAACCTGGATACCAAAACTGCTCTCTAAAAATATTTTCATTAATTCTTTGAGGATTTTATAAAATGAAATTGCCATTTTGCAGCAGCCCCACAGCTTAGAAATGCCACACATGCAGTGATGCCAGCCACCAGCTCACTGGGTGGGGCTGCATGTTCACCCCAGTGTTCAGGTCATTTGAATATTCATGAAGATTGGCAGGTGGTCAGTGGATGAGTGACTGCCACTACTCTGGGTGCTTTTGCTCTTTTTTTTTTTTTTGGATTTAAATTAGAAAAACATACAAGATAATGTGAGTTACTCAATTCTTGACTTTTTCTGATGTCAGTTTGGGAAGAAATTTTCATCAGGTGGGCTAATGGAGATAGTGGAACATTAACATCTTGCCTTCAGCTGGTTTAGTGGTGCATTCCTATCTATTCTATAATCCTTACACTTGGGAGATTGAGGCAGGAGGGCCAAGATTTCCAGACCAGCCTGTGCTACAAGTTGAAACACTTTCAAGTATAAACAAAAACAAACCCTGGTTGTCCAGTCACCTCTGTGCAACCATATTCTTGTCTGTGCCATGTGTAGCCAATATTCATGTAAATCAACGTTTTTTAAAAAATAAAACACATCATGTTTATAGTGTTCCCTACATGCAATCACCTTTCATGTTGCACCTATGCTTGCCAGTTTGTAGATTGTGTTTTTGCTTTTTCCCTGTTGGAGGGAAAGGAAGCAGAAACTGTCTACAGGTCTCCAGCCCAAGGATCATAGTCCTGTGGCCAAAATCCAAGCCTTTTCTCTCCCTGTTTCCATTTTGTTTTCATCTGAGAAGATATGTGGTGATTGGACATCTTAGGACTGTATTTCCTGGCTTGCACAAGGATGGGTTCATACATGGGTCTCCTTGCTGCATTATGTGTATGTGTTATCTTGGTTTGCTCAAGCTGTAGTAACAGAGTGGAGTGGACCTGGTAGCTTAGAAACAGGAGGCATTTATTTCTTGTAGTTCTGGTAGCATGAAGTCTGATGTCAGGGTGCCATCATGTGCAGATTCTGATGTGAGGATTCTATGTAGGATTGTTGACTGTCTTCTTGCTATGGCTTCATGTATTGAAAGTGACCAGAGAATCTTTGGGTTACTATTCAACCACTACCACCACCACCACCACCACCAACAACAACAACAACAACACTATTACTACTACTATTAATACCAGTTCTTTGGGAATTTTGTACAATGAATTGAGTTTTGATCATTTTCATCCCTCCCCCAATTCCTCCCAGCTCGACCATGCCTTTCCTCCCAACTTTGAGCTTGCCCCCAACACCCATCTTGTTCAGTTGGTGCAACCCAGATGCACACAGAACAATTACCGTCTGCAAATAGTTTCTCAGCTAGAGGTGAGATTCTAGATCCTCCTCCCCTCTCCTTCCTGGGTTTTGGGTTTGGTCTTATTTGGGTTTGCACAGGGATTGCCACTGCTGCTGTGAGTTCATTATGCAGCTGCATGTTGTGTTCTGAGGATATTGTCTCTGGCTCTTAGAGTCTTCTTCCCCCTTGTCAACAATCATCCCCTCTACCGCACATCCTTTGGGAAAAGGGGTTACTGTATAGATGCTCCACTTAGGGCTAAGCCTCTCTGTACCTTAGCCAGTTGTGGATCTCAGAAGGGTTGGAAATACAAAGTAAACTCATTGATGAAGGTTTCACCTTCTTTACTTAATCACCTCTCAAAGGACTCATGCGATGCCATTAACATCAGAGATGAGAATGTCAACATGTGAATATTAGGGAAAACATTCATTCAGTATATGACAGTCACCATGCTTATTCTTTAAACTGTTTAGAAAAAGATTCTAAGAATTAGAGAAGTGAGGCAACTTTGTAGAGGAAAACTGTAGCTTGAACTAGAGCATAGATTGGCACACAGGTGTGCCCGGGTTTGCACTCTGAGCACCTAACACATGCTTTAGTTTCCCAAGGCAAAACCGTGTCATCCCACCCCCGCCCCCAGCGTTGAGGGAAGAGTTATAGACAGGTGGGGTTTTTGGTATATGGTCAGAAGAAACTCTGTTATAGTTTCAGAATAGTGATTTAGATAATTAATGCTTTGGGTGGGTAGAAGGAGGTACTTTGTGGTCCAGAAATATTTTGTGAAGAAATTGAGATCTGAAAAAATAGGAAGAGTGGAAGGAAGCTCTGAGCATGTGTGGGAAGTGCTGAGTATGTTTGAGGGGAACTAGAGATTGAATGAAGCATAAGGGCTGTGGTGGGAAACACATCGGGGAAGCCTGGGAAGGTGACCTGGGCTGCTGATGTGGACTTGGTGTCCTGGATTATGTATTTGATGTTTAGCAGATCCAATTTTGCTTGGTTACACTATGAAGCCACCTTCCTTTAAAGACACTTACTGTACTTTATGTGTGTGTGTACTTGAGTGTGTATGTGTACCACATGCATGCAGGAGCCTGCAGAGTTTAGAAGGCAGTAGATCCTTTGGAACTCAAGTTGTGAGATGCTATGTGGGTGCTGGATGCTGAACCCAGGTCTGTTGCAAGATCAAGTACTCTCAATTCTCCAGCCCACAACACTTAACAAGAATAATTTCAGTTGGCTTGTGATTGTAGAAAGTTTAGAGGAATGAAATTTCATTTCCCAAGAATTCTCTAATTCTCTAGGATCTTGCTTTTTTTTTTTATTCTAAGAAATATAAAGTTTTTATGTATTCTTACCATGTGATTGGGTTTTGAATGTGTTGTGGTGATATCTCACTGAAACGTGTTTTTGTGGCCTGGGAAAGATGGGGGCGTTGAATCTTAATATGTATTCGAAGTGACAGAGCCTGGGATTCGGGTCTTCTGAGGAAGGAGGCCACAGAGGAGGACATCTCAGACAACAGAGGCTTGGGCAGGGAGTGAGTTTCCTGAGTTCTCAGTCTTGGGTGTTTCTTACTTAGGAAATTCTGTAGTTCATTTACTTCTTTTGAGCTTTGACCACAGGCCCTGTTCTGTTTCTGAGAATCACAATATTCAACTCATTGTGACCATGGTTGACTACAGTGTACTATACTCCACCCAGATGTTTAATTAAAAAATATAGATAGGAAAATTAATGTCATGGGTCCCAGAGAAGAAGAAATCAGAGACTCAGCTGTGAAATGGGCAAGAGATGTGAAAATTGGTTGTGATCCGAGATGGTAGAATGCTTATGTTTTTGAAAATGCCTTTTTGTCTGTTAGTCTCATCTCTCCTATTTTCTTTTTTTAATTTTGCAGTGTGCAAAGATCCACCTTACAAAGTAGAAGAGTCTGGGTATGCTGGTTTCATATTGCCAATTGAGGTTTATTTTAAAAACAAGGTATGTAATCTTTACCCACTAATCTCTCAGAAGATCCTCTGTTAACCTCTGTATGATGTTTACAATAATCTGTTGATAAACACTTCTAACACTATAGAAAGTTAAAGCTAAACTTGACTTGTAGAATTTTGGTTATCATAACTCTTTAATCATAGAGGGAGTGGCTGTTAAAAAGATAATTTAATTTCAATCATATAAAGTCAGGCTTTATAAAATTCACTTTGGAAAAATGATTACCATTCTGAAATAGATGGGAGAGGTATGTGATATAGAAAAGAGTTTTTCCAGGAAATGTTCCTAGTCTTGCTTTCGTATCTCTAGAATATTTTTTAGGATTACAAAAAACAATCATGTGTTATCTTTAGATGATGAGTATACGTGGCCAGTATATAAAGTTATTTCAGCCTGTGGTATTATGGATTCTACTGCATTTAAATGATATTACCACTATGTTTGGAGCAGAATATGCAGACTATATGACATGGGTGATTGTTGAACCTCTCTGGGACTTCCTCTGAGGGTGGCTAGAAAGATTTATAAGGCTGATGTGTGGAATATTTGTAACATTGTCTCATAAGTAAACATTTATTAAGTGCTGGTCCTCTTTTCAGCATTAGATTTCTGGGTCTTGTTCATAAACATGGTAGATTATTGTCTTTTTTTCTTTGTGCTATACATTTGGAGGCAAGAAGGTACGAATCAGCACCATAAACTGGAGTGGGCTGTGCTTGAGAGGTGAAGCTAGTGTACCTACCACTAAGATCCCCGTGCTTGCCTGCCGGTTCTGCTGCTTGCTGCCCTATTGTCAATGGATCAGTGATTTGAGTTACCCCCAGGAAAGCATTCAACCCCATGGCAGGCCTGCAACAGTGCTTGCAGTTTTTAAATAATGCTATTCTTTACTTTTCACTCAAAGGTATCATGGTTTCTAAATGTGCCCTAAAGCAAGACAGTTCACTTTCAAAACAAATAAAAAAAAAAAAAGCAACCGAGAAAACAGAATTCTGTTCTTTAAGCCAGCGCTCCCTCCATTAAGTCTAGTCTCGGGGACAGCAGCAGCAGCTCCCAAGAGCAGATTAGAAAGACATTTTCACAGTCACCAGATCTACTCAAGCAGTAGCTCCCCGCCCCCCCCCCCCCCCGGGGGGGG